CAATTCTATCATTTTGGAAAGAGTACAAATGCAAATATGTATGGAGTAAATACATACAAAATAATACAAAATATAAGGCTTTGCATTTGTACTCATTCCAAACTCAACCAAAGTTGCATCTCTTTTATTTGCTAAGATCGCTATAGTAGTATAAAATGGCAAGTATATTATATATATTAGCTTTGCATGTTTTACTCCCTTAATATTATCGATTTTCCATGCTCAATATATTTTTATGTAGTTAGGGATGACCACCAAAAACTGAAAAGCCAAAAAACCAAACTGAATCGATGAAACCAAACCAAAATATCCAATTAATTGAACAAATTGTTTCAGTTTTTTGTTAACCAGTATGAAAAATGATAGGTAACCAAACCGACCAGTATATGTTTTATGTATATTCTATTTATATTTTCATATATATTATATATTATGTATTAAATATAAACATACATGCATTATATATAAATATATAATATAATATATTACATACATTTATAGTATTTATAATATATAATTATATATTTATTTACAACATATATTAAAAATTCAAAAAAGCTGAAAATTCGAAGAATCGAATTAATAAAAAACGAACCAATCAGTCAATTAACCAATTGATTTCAGTTTTATAATTAAAAATAGTGGTACTGGTTAGTTCAAAAAAGTCTCATGGTTTGGCTAATTGAATCATGAACCACCTTACATGTAGTGTATATTTTTTATTTCCACTTATGCCCCATCGATTTTGGTGTCGTTTGACAAGTCTTTTTTGAAAGATCTTTGATAGCCAAAAGACATTGCGAGCTTTTACATAAAGATATTGGCAGCCCACAATTCATTTAGTTAGAGGTATGTTTTTTCCACACGAAGACGATACTTGAAAAGGCCAAAAAGGCAAGAAGTTCTATTTATAACTTTCCGAAATAAGCTCGAATCAAACTTCTCATATCTTTTTCAGGATATGGTCTTTCGATAGAAAGATCTTACTCCAAACAAATAGAGAAAGACACAAATACGACTTACAAGGATTTTTAAAAGCCAACAGCCAAACAGGGCCTTCATCTTTCTGTTTATTTTCCCCTCTTGTTGATACTTTATAGCTCTACTTGCGAGCCTTCACTTCTGAAGCATTATTGGAGCATGCATAGTTACTTTATTTTTTTTCTTGCTTGTAAGGTCTAGGCTGAAATATTCAATTAAGCCAAAGTATTTTGATAATAAGCTCGAGTGGGCAAATTCATTAAAAAAAGAAAAAAAAAACAAAAGCTCGAGTGGGCAACTTTATCAAATTAACATCCCACTACACTGTCATGTACAAAATACGACTTATGACTTTTAGTGCCAAATCAAAGGCTGGGATGACAAACAATTCTATATTAATTCCTGGCACCAAATAAAGGGAATATGCCTTGCTTCCTAAGTACTGAAATATCTCTAACCTTTTTTATTTTTTAATATGTCTTCTTTTTAACTTTTTTGTTGATAAATTTTAATATGTTCTTTTTTAGTTAATTTATTTTGTTCCCTGCATCTTTTCTACTTTATTTGGCTTTTTGGACGGCTCCTCCTGTCCTCCAATTCACTTTCCTTTACCCAATCCTACATCACAGCACTTTCCAACTTGGTTTCACATCTCCCTTCTACCTATATATATCTATTTCTTCAACTTGGTTATTGTCACCCTATCTCCGTCGAAGTTTTCCGGCAACCCCACGGCATTCATGGCGACGCTAAGCCAAAACTCATCCCACAGATCGGTGGCAATGGTGCTGTCATTAGTTTCTGCAGTAGTGCTTTCTCCACTGTATTTAAAGCGAAAGACGAACGATAACCGTAACGAGACAAGATGGAATTCTGGCTTTGTTCTGCCTATGATTCTTGCTGGGCTCATAATCTCAATAAGGGTGGCTTCATCTTCATCCTCGTCGGCGCAAAGTGGTCGGAGTGCAGTATTTTCATCAATGGATGCTTCATGTGTGCTTAGAATTGGGAATTCTTCTTGGGGTCTCACCGGAGTTTTGATACTGCTGATGATTGTGCTCTCGTGGCAGGATTCGGTTCAGGGGTTCTTTTGGAAATAGAGAATTAACAAACAATCCCATATTTTCTTTCTTAATTAGCCTGTCAATTGTTGTTTATTTATAGTTAGGAGATAGATTCAGTCAATAGCCCCGTAGTACGTACTGCTAAATATTTGAGAAGAAAGCAGCCATCAAATAAATTGGTGTTTTGGCTGTTGAAGATATATATTTATTTTTTACCGTACCAAGAGCCACACGCTGGTGTATTTGATTTGATGATCCAATTCCGGTCTGATTGATCACTTGTTAATTAATTAATATTATGTAATGTAATGTAGACTTCAAACGGATATTAATGGAAAGTAATATTTCATAGAAAATGGAATATTATGTAATGTAATGCGTGGTTTTCAAACTGGATCGGGCCGGAGATCAGAAAAACCAGGACCTGATCGGTACCAATTTATCCCAAAACCACTTTTCGGTCAAAAATCATTGATTTCATCAACAAACCACTAATTTGAATAATCAAATTGTTGATTCAAACAATGTTTTTTGTCCTTTTCTTTTGTTTTATTCTTTTTATTTGTTCTATTGGAATGGATCATCCATTCGGACCGGACAGACCATTCAACCCGGGAACTGGACTCAGAACGGTTTTCTGTTCAGTCCGATTTTAAAAACCTTGATGTAATGTGATTACTTACAAAAAGGATGTTAGGGTGTTTAATTTGACTCTGGATCTCCTGTCCACAAGAACTCTGCCCATGTCTACCCACATTTATTCATACCACACTACCTCCCATGAATTGAGAATATCTCTCCCTGCATAATACGCAGAGGATGAGATATCCTCCATATGTGACTGCAATAAACATGGACAGAGTTTGTGTGGACAAGAGATCCGGGCTCATTTAATTTATGTTATAGTTCGTCGCCTCTTATAGTATAACGGGTGAAATGAAGCCCACTTTATTAAGAATCTAAGATGCATTTCTCCCACTTGGCGACAACGCCTATGCCTGGTTTAGGCCTTCTTTTGCGATACGGGCTTTTCAAGCCCAGCTGCCCCAGCACAAGGAAAAACATGTATTAAAAGAATTTGTATTCATTACTCGAAGCCTCTTACAGCTGAACATTGGAAATATTTTTCTATGAATAAAATATACAATTATGGAGATGTTTGAAATGCATGGCCGAAACTGTAATTCTGTAAAGACTAAATTCAAATTCATATTGAAATGGAGTCAAAGGACATGAGGTCTATGTCCATCCATTCCATCCGCAGTTGAGTTTGAGCGTTTCCATAACACTTGCGGCCGGATTGAAAACATTTCCCCATAAATGAACATATATGAGATGGGTGTTCCGGATGTGCAGACGTGTTATGAGGTGGGTGTGAGGAGAATTCTGTGGGAAAGAAATTGTGATTTCCTTAGCTGCATCTCAATGGAAGTCCAACCTTATTGGGCTAGGCACAGGATTATATTTTTAGCATTGTTTAAAGCATCATACTCCCAATATGTAAAATTTATGTATCTAGTATTTAAAGTTTTCAGTATTTGATATTATTGGAGATATACTTTTAGAAATTTGGATGATAAGCTTTGAGTCTCTGAGATTGTTTTTAAAATGTTATTTTATGAGAAACTACACCAATAAAATTGAAGAATCTTAAAATAAAAACTTCTATGAGACCATAAGTTAGATTTTAAAATACAAGAGTATTATTGTTACCTCATGTAAAACTTGTTTGATGGGATCTACTTCAACACATACAAGAACTACTTTTCTACTTTATCGAAAAGCACGGGAAAATGGGAAATGACCAACTTTAATCGTTTAGCAAGATGTATAATCAATAATAGCACTCCACATTAATCATATAATACATGGGCTCGACGTGATGCGTTATTATTGGTTCAACAATCAAATATTAGAATGCTAAAATGATAAAATAAAATTTCTTTTATCATATTTTTTCTCATCCATGATAAAATTCGTCATGGATGAATTTAATGGCACCTAATAAAAAGCGCCCTAATCTATCCACAAAAAAAAAGTGCCCTACAGGCGCCCCACATGCACATTTCAGTGTGCATTTGGACTTTGTGTCGTTGGGAGATGTTGTCAATACACAGTTGGGATGTATTGTGGGGCACTAGTGGGATACGTTTCGTGGGTCGAAGATGTGAATTTGTCTTGGAATCGAGTCCGGTGTGAGGTGCACTCTGTGAGGAGCAAATCCCGACTCCATGGGAAACTAGATATACTCCTCACACATGGCGGCTCACAACTATGGGAGATGTTCACAATGCATGGTGGGATGTGCATGTGAGGCGCCCTATGTGAGTAGCAGATCCTGATTCCTTTCGAGATCGGATCTACCGGAGCATATCCTAATTCCTTTCACCAATCACTAGGGGTGGATTCGAGCCGAATACTTGGCTATTCGAACTTAGCTCACTAAAACGGTATTAGGCTCGAGCTCGAGCTAGAGATTTGAGCTCGGCTTGGTTCAAAACTCACAGGTTTGAATTCGGTACAACTCAAGCTTGACTGTAACCCAAGTTTTTTTTTTCTAAAAAATAATATATATATAAATATTTTTTATTTTACATACAAAAAAGTAAGAATTATAAAAATCATTTATATACATATAAAAATAAAAAATATACATACAAATAATGTTTTTATTTATATACAAAAAGATAAGAATTATAAAAATTATTTACCATTATCTGTAAAAATAAAAACATTATTATATAATAAAATTATTTATTATATATATTTATATGTTTATATATAATAAAAAATTATTTATTTATTATTATAGACTCGCGACTGAATTCGATTAGCAAACGAGTCTATATCAGACTCGACCTCAGCTCGGTTTAAACCGAACCGAGCCGAGCCGAGCTATAGAATCTCAGCTTATGGCCACCCCTACCGGTCACTACTGTTAATCTGCTACTGGAGTGAGGTGCCCTAGTACTGAACTACCGGTACTAGCGGTCGCTTTGCTTTGTCTTCCCACTTTTAACTGAAACCAGAGCTAAGCAGAGGTAACGCTTTTCGTTCTTTCGTTTACGTTTCGCGCCGTTGCTGCACACGTACCTTGTTGGAACTCGAGAAGGGAGTGTCACCTCAATGGCTTCTACTAAAATCCGAGATTACGAAGACTTCGTTAAGGTTCACGCTATCCTACTCGCAGCTTCAGGAATTCCTCCGTCCCTGCATTTCCAGCTATTTCAGAAGCTCTCTTCAGAGACCTTCGATGGTGGAAGCTTCTTTCAGGTCGAGCCCTGCGAGGACGGTCGGCAGAGGCGACTCATCCTCACTTCAGACTCCATGGAGAAGGAGTCGCAGATTTTCCTAGTCGATCATGCCTGGACATTTCGCCTCCCGGATGCTAGAAAACAGGTCCTTATCCGGATTAGTAGTAGATTTCTGCTTAAGGCGTATAGGCTTCTAGGCTTCTAGCTATTATCGGTTCTCCAGCATCCTTCCATTTTTTCTTATGTAGAATTTGAGTATGTTCAAATGCAAGTTACAAGGTGAATACATATGGAAATTGGAATTTCTAGTTTGATTGACAGATAGGCAAATCAAAGCTCTCTTAATTTTCTTTGATCATGCTAAACCCCTTCTGTCTTACCAAACACTTATAGATCTCTTCAAGTCACTACTATTCGATTACCAAAGAAAGGTCTCTATTATTTGAAACTTCTTACTCATTGTTTCTGTAAGTCTTTTGAAGTTGTAGTAGCAGAAATTCGACCAGCGGCGTGTATGAATAAACTCTTTTTGTGTGTGTGCGTGGGCTGGGAGTGATTTGCTAGTTGCCCTTTAAATAAATAATGGAAGCACGATTCTTAGGTTCCTACTTAAAGGTCAGTTAAATGGCCTTAGTTTCCTAATGGTACTAAATGTAGTATGAAGCCAAAGTATTTGATTCGCTGCTATTACTAGGATTTAGCATGAGGGTGGTAGCCGTTATTTGTAACTTTTTCAAATCTTAATTGTGTGCAGCTGCAGGATATCCCTGGGTTAGCTCAGCGAATGGCTTCACTGATGTGTGTAGATGTTGATTTGGTTTCTGATTCTGATGATGCAAACCTTGAGCGAGACGGAAATGATACGCGAGGAAATGTTGTGGAAATACTGGAAAGCGAAATTCATAAAGCCAAAGAGAAAGGTGCTGAATCTGTATTGTGGTTAGAGCTTGAGGAACTTGGCATAGATGATGCCATGCTGCTGTCTCTGGATTTATCTAGTAAATTTCCTGTATGCCACTCTTTCTTATCTTATGCTTGTGTGTGTTTTATTCTTTGGAGATGTATATGCATCCACAGTTGCAAAGGTGTGGGCCGTGTGGCCTAGGCTATGATTTTTTTTGCTTTCCTTGTGCCTTAACTTTTTATTTTATTTGATGAATCTAGCAATTTCATCTTTAGCACAAGTATATTTCAAAAGATTAAATTGCAATTTAGAAAATCACAATTCACAAGTATTTAGGGCAAGATGAAGAAACAGGGGGCATCTTGTTGTGGCCTCACGGGAACCTTCCCAAACCACAATCAACACATCCATCACCATAGAATTATAGTAGAAACACCACCAAGGCAGCGGTAGGAAAGTATTTACTTTTATAGGGTCTTCAACTCTAGTAGCCCCATCTTACATGCTTGACCAATATTAGCAAAAACCCGTAGAATACCACCAAGCTTCTATAGTCAATGTTTTGGCAGCTCCCACTCTGGTGACAATCCTTTCCCAATGGCTCTCGTTCCACAGGCAGGTGGCTTTTTCTACAATGGATCTCATTCTGGTGGCAGGTAGCCCTTTCCCTCCGGAAGCTCTCATTCTACTCTAATAAGCCATTTACATGATAGCTTTCACTCTATTCCAGGCGTCTTTCTCTCAGGTAGCTCTTTCCATGACTTGAACTTGAGACATATGGTTAGGCTTTCAAAGCAATTGTCATGTGTTTGACAACAAGCCAAAAGCCCTAGGACTGTTGGAACATGTCAAACCAAGCTGTTTAACCTTGAGGACCATAACATCTTCATTGCAAAATGCATCTTCTTCTATCATGTTAGCATGGGTATCTGCTTGCATCATTCATTTATATATTTACTATGTTTTAGTTTTTTTTTTGTGGGAATTGCATTTTAGCAAGATCAGGATTCTTTTAATAGCAATAGTTGTAATCCATGGGCCCCATGTTTTCAATAAGCATGCAGCAATGAGTAATGATCTCACAAATGAGAGAGCTCATAGTTGCATGCTTCATACACGTGGACTGTGTACAGACAAAATTTTGATGACTGCAGGTTCATTTTTTGAATGTAGCTCTGGGTCACACAGTTTTCTTTTATTTTTTTTAATGGATACTATTTGTTAATAATTTCTGTTAGCAATGTACCTTCTGTTATAAAATGAGAATTGGGAACACTCTAACATGGGGACTAAATTTTAAATCAAAATTCATGTAAATGAAGTTGAAAGAGTTTTATGATGTGACAGAACTTCACTTCATTTTTGCTTTGGGCCAAGCAATACTTACTTGACATATGAAGAATTACATCCCAAGCTTACTACCAAATAAATTATATTTAAAAAGGTTGTATAGTAGTTTGTAGCAATTATGTGGATACTTACGTTCAGTCTTGTTATTTATGAATTACCCAAAAAACAAGTATTGTTATTTATGGGTAATTCTGAGGATTGGTAGATTTCATAGAAAGAATCGACAGGGCTTGTTATGCCAATTAAACGTGCTATTAGGCTATTAGCCTATCAAATATCAATTATTTTTATTTAAGGGTGGTCTCTCTCAGTATGTATACTCTACAAATGAATCATTACATGTGGGTTTCCCCCTTTGTTATAACCTCTCAGGAAATCCCTATGTCATTGACTTGGCCATCATATTCTCTCTCTCTCCATTTTGTTTCTTCTTCAGAATCTTCTAGCACTTAGCCTGCACGGGAACAAGCTCCAGAATGCAGAAACAGTTGTGCAAGAAGTCACAAAATTTAAGGACCTAAGAGCTCTGTGGCTGAATGAGAACCCAGTTCTCAAAAACTGGTAAGTTTTCTTTTTTGTTTCTATTTAATAATCTATAGAGATAGTGTTCTGGATCCTGATTCCATCTGCATCTCTATCTAAACCGACATCTTAGTTTCAAGGGTTTGTTGCACTTCCTTGGTTTCAATAACCAATTAAAGCTATCTTGGCACTTTTTTTCTGTTAACGCTGAAGGGGAAAGTTTGAAATTAACCGAATGTTTGGAATTCTTTTAGTGGTTCTCTACTAACCTAATTATGTTTGTTGAATAAATGAGTAAGACAATAAGGGAGTCTTTTTTCAGCATAGAGAAGCTTCCATGTAATGCAAGTCACTCACATATGCCTTTTAGGGATCTGGTACTGTTATTTTGACCATTTCAAAATAATGATGAGATGTGCAAATTCAAAAACAAGATTCGTTCCACTCATCAAAGAAACAAGATTTGTTCTAATCATTCCCCTTAGTAGGTAATCTGGACATATTCATAGCTGGTCAAAATGGACTTAGGTTTTTGGGGTTAGGGGTTTCAAATTTTAATTTTAATCTTTTCCCCTTACCCTATCCCATGTGGATGCATCTTATATGCTTTTTTACTTGACATATAACAGTTATGGTTTTTTTTTTTTATGAATGATAATAAATTTATTAATTCAGAAGCAAATTTAGAGTGAGTTCATACAACATCCCAGCGAGAGGCGCAAGCTGCAGCCCCTCCTTGAATCTTACAAGTAAACTAGGAAAGAAAAACAAGAATCACAACTGAGCCCAAAATAATTCTTCCCTATTTACCCCTTGCTTAGCTAACACATCTGACAAAGTATTTGCTGATCTCCCCACCCACTGTACAGTGACCAACATATT